GGGTTTAGGGTTTAGGGGGGAAGGAGAGAATGGGTTGTAAGGACTACTGTATAAAGAGGCTGCTATAGGGACACTTTCCCTCTCTCCCTGCCAAGTGCCGGCTGTCACTTGGCATCGGGATCTCATCAAGGGAGCAATATATACAATGTGCATTGGGCTTCTGTGCTCCAAAGGCAAGTTCTAGAAGCATGCAGCACGGGATATAATCTCCAAAGCAACACAGGGCTCCTTGAGGGGCCCAATTTCTCCTATCCGAGCATCGAGACCTTGAGGGCTTGAAACTTGAAAGGTTCAGTTCTGAGCCTTAAACCCCAGAAATCTAAATTCCTTGTAGCCTGCGGCAAAGGCCAAACTTGGAAAAGCGGCGATCGATGACCAAGTTAAGGTTCCTGGTGGCGACCTGCTTGTGACACTAGGTACGCAAAGGAGTTTTCGAAAATCCGGGGGTAACTTGGGGCTTGGGGATCCTAACAATGCAGCTTTTACAGGGATCCTCGTTTAAAGATTCTACGTGAAGCGACATTCCAGAAAAGTCCCATCACGAGGAGTCATGCGCCAATTCTGGAGTTCCGCCTTCGGAACTGCACACTGGTAATTTTGATCGCTGCTTTCCAAACGCAACAGCGTTTTGCAGGGTAATGACATGAGACTTTATCAAAACTTCCCGCTACGGAGTCCTGAAAGATTTTGACTGGCGCTGCCCTGCCTTGGTCACGTTGTACAAGCCCTGGAAGTCGAACCTTCAGCGCAGGTGGTGCTGTCAATGAAGGCAGATGTTGGTGCCGGCTTCAAGTTTTGGGCTTCGAGGTGTCGGCATTCAGCTTTAGGCTGTTAGAATTCTATCGCCTGAACATAGCGGGCTCAGATTCCAAGGACAGAAATTTCATGATCCAGGTCCCGGCACTACTCTTCGCAGTGCACGTGAACGTTTCCACTCTCGTCCCCAAACTTGACAGAGAGCTTTTTCGCTCATGCAAAGGAAGGAGAAGAAGCTTACCATGGGACCATGGTGCACGTTGAACGGGTAATCTTTCCACCCACCAGGATTCCGAAACATATTATTACAAGATCCCACAACAAAGGGTTCAGGGTTGGAGGGGAAAAATTGGATAACCATAATAACGCCACCAGTGGTAAGGAGAATCTGCACGAGAAGCTTTACACCATCAGCTGTTGATTCGCTTGCCCAAGGAACTGCTGCAACGCAAGTCATAAGCAGCGTGCAATATGACCGCCACTACAACATTGCCAGACTGTCAGGGAATCGGTCATCTGAGTTCAAACTTTTGCGTGATGACCTACCATACCCTCAACCATAGATGTTAAGCCCTGAACCGTTGAAACTTTGCCAATTACATACCCTAAATCCTGAACCCTGAA